CAGACCAGGTACGAGAAGGTGGGATGCGGCTAATCTTCTTTTCTCTTTTCTTTCCTGTTTTTTCTTGATGACTACTGCAGACATAATTGGCTGAATAGCCTCTTTCTTGGCCATAGCACTTCAGTGGTTCCATTGTACTATGGACTTCACAATGTTGTCTCCCTTCTCTGGTTCTGATATCTTTTTGAGGTCAAGTGTATTTTTATTTTCCTATGTGTATATGTGTTTTCCTGGGTAGCTGTACAGTTTGCTGTAGAACTTTCTTCTTCTGTTTACTGCAATCTCAGTTGTGATTTTTATTTTCAAAAATTGTTCCTTCTCTTTGATGGTCTGTAAACCATGCTTTCTCATGCATTTCTCTTTCACCAAACAGTTTCAGCAATGGTAAACCTCATGCTTTGTGCCTGTTCTTGAAGTTTTCAGCCTGGGTTGTCACTTTGCTTTTCATCTTGCAGTTTTATTCTTTCTTCGTTGTTGATTATTATGTTAGGTTTTAATATATGTGAGAGAGTTGAAAGGTGCATTCTCAACCTTTTGCCCATCAGTAACTCTGATGGTGATAATCCATTCTGTGGTGGTGGTGTTCCAAGATTATCACCAAAATCTACTGTTAGCATCAGTTTCATAAAAGGTGCTCTTAATTACTTTTCCTAAACTTGCACCCGTTGATACCATTAGGAGGGCAACAGAGTGGTGATGCTGATTGGCTGACGTGGGGATGATCTGCATCAGCGCAGTCACTGCTTCCAGAAGGTGGTTTGCAGAGGGGCTGTTATCATGTGACAGTTGACGTTGAGAGGCAAGGGAGGAAATTGCTGGGGCCTTGAGGGAAATCTTTGTATCCTCACTGGCTACAGGGGAGGTCCCAGAGGATTGGTGAATTGCCAATGTTGTTCCTTTGTTTAAGAAGGGTGGCAAGGATAATCCACCTAATTACAGGCCAGCAAGCCTTACGTCAGTGGTAGGGAAATTATTGGAGAGAATTCTTCGAGACAGGATTTACTTCTACCTGGAAATCAATGGGCGTATTAGCGAGGGGCAACATGGTTTTGTGAAGGGGAGGTCATGTCTCACTAACTTGGTTGAGTTTTTTGAGGAATTGATGAAGATGATTGATGAAGGTAGGGCAGTGGATGTTGTTTACATGAACTTCAGTAAGGCCTTTGACAAGGTCCCTCATGGCAGGCTGATACAGAAGATAAAGATGCACGGGGTCAGAGGTGAGCTTGCAAGATGGATTAAAATACTGTCTCGGTCATAGAAGACAGATGTAGCAGTGGAAGGGTACGTTTCTGAATGGAGGGCTGTGACTAGTGGCGTTCCTCAGGGATCAATGTTGGGACCTTTGCTGTTTGTAATATATATAAATGATTTGGAGGAGAATGTAACTGGTCTGATTAGTAAATTTGCCGATGGAATTGCGGATAGCAATGAGGACCATCAAAGTATGCAGCTGGTTGGTGACTTGGGGAGAGAGATGGTAGATGGAGTTTAATCCACGAAAATGTGAGGTAATGCATTTTGGAAGGTCTAATCCAGATCAAAAATATACAGTAAATGGCAGAACTCTTCTGAGTACTGATAGGCAGAGGGATTTGGGTGTACAGGTACACAGGTCGCTGAAAGTGGCAATGCAGGTGGAAAAGGTAGTCAACAAGGCATATGGCATGCTTGCCTTCATTAGCCGAAGCGTTGAGTTTAAAAATTGTCAGGTAATGTTGCACCTTTATAGAACCTCAGTTAGGCTGCATTTGTAATATTAAGTTCAATTCTGGTCGCCAAATTACCAGAAGGATGTGGTGGCTTTGGAGAGGGTACTAAAAAGATTTACCAGGATGTTGCCTGGTATGGTGGGCATTAGCTATGAGGAGAGGTTGGAGAAACTTAGATTGCTCTCACTGGAACAATGGAGGTTGAGGGGGAACTTGACTGAGGTCTACAAGATTATAAAGGGTATGGACAGACTGGACAGTCAGAAGCTTTTTCCCAGGGTGGAAGTGTCAGTTACCAGGGGCCATGGGTTTAAGGTGCGAGGGGCAAGTTATTTTACACAGAGGGTGGTGGGTGCCTGGAATTCACTGCCAGGGGAGGTGGTAGAAGCAGATGCTATAGTGACTTTTAAAGTGTGTCTTGACAAATATATGAATAGGATGGGAATAGAGGGATACAGTTGCTGGAAGGGTCGGTGATTTTAGTTGTGACGGGTAGCGTGTCAGGACAGGCTTGGAGGGCTGAAGGGCCTGTTCCTGTGCTGTAATTTTTCTTTATTCTTTGTTCTTTTTTCTAAATCGTGCATTATACTCCTTCATTTAACTGAATTAAATCCATGCAGATTCTCACAGAGATGTTTGGATTGGGACTGTAACACTATGTGAATAACATTTTGTTAGCATGATGTCTGATTAGATAACTGTTTGTTGGTGTGTTTTGTATTTTTCTTTAACTTTATCTCAGAGTAGGTTAGAGACAGAGTGATTAAGCAAATTGATTTAGTATTATCATTGCAGCAGGTATCTTCTTAGTCTTTAATTTTCCAATCCTCAGAACAATCTTAGAAACTCATTGTGCAATTAATTTGTGTGTTGAACACCAGCAATCTTATTAACCTTACAGATCTTTCACAGCTTTAGGCATGCCCTTCTGCTTCATAGAGAATGTTTCTGTTTCTGATTCTGAATGACATAAAAATTTCACCTGATAATATGTTGCTTATGCATATTCAAGTTTTAAAAAATCTTGTTTTTGGGGATGTGCTCAAGATTAATTCCTCATTATGATTTAAAAGTTTTAGATGTTTGGATTGAATTTTATCTGGTATTTCAAAGTCCATTTTGACTGAATATAATTGTTTCATTATTCTTCTGCATGGCTCTTTTCATGAATGCATCACTGTTCACCTTCAATAGGAATATGTAAACTGTATTAAAATTAAAAGGATTTTGGTTTTTTTAATTGCTTACCTTTTGATGTGAGCTTCCCTTAACTTTCAAATCAATTCTCACTGAGCTGTAAGAACTGTAATTTTGCAAAATCAATAGCAACTAATTGAATTTTTATTGTATTTTTCCAATTAAATCATAAATATATTTGTTTTAATACAAGTGGAAAAATGAATACATTACAATAAGTCAATACATTGTAGACTTTTGCGATATAAGCAGCGTTCTTTATCCAAAGTCAAACATTATTCTGTTATTATTCTTTGAATTTGATATTGTTCGTTGGCTGTCCATTCTCTTTCAGCTGCAGCAAAGCTACAACTGTGCTCATATTCAATTGACAAGTGGAATTATTTTAAGTTTACTCAGAGTTAGTAAACACATCAATTCTATTGAGATACAGATTCTCTGCTACTCATTGTAAAAAGCATTCACCATTGAAAGTTGTCATTTAATCATCTAACATTTAAGTTGCATTTTCATGTTCTTAATTGGTTGACTAGTTAATTGTTTTCTGCAGAGTATTATAGCCTCTATATCCCGTGTTTTAAATTCAGGGTCTTAGAGTCTTTTAATTCCTTTCAAATGTTCAGGAGAATTTCTTTCATTGTACAAGTTTACGTATAACACTGCAAAAAGCAGTAATTTCTAATTTGAAATATTAACCTAGATATACCCTTAAACACATTTTGTTAAAAAACATAGAACAGTACAGGCCCTTGGCCCACAATGTTGTGCTGACCTATTAACCTACTCTAAGATCAAACTACCCTGCATACCCTACATTTTATTATCATCTATGTGCCTATCCAAGAGTCGCTTAAATGTCCCTAATATATCTGACTCCACTACCACTGCTGGCAGCGCATTCCACGCACCCACCCCTCTGTGTGTAAAGAATACTCGAGGAAATAATTTATTTGCACATTGTTTGCAATGTAAGCTCAAATGTATTCAATAAATAGTACTGCATTAATTACCAAGAGGAAAACCTATTCAACATTAATGTATGAAGGAGTTGAAAATGTATATATACTATCATTATGTATGCTTCTGATGTTAATCCAATTATTGCACAGTTATTTTTTATGGTTTAAGAACTGACGAGCAAGTTTGCTGCAGAACAAAACCTCAGTAGCAATACGGTAAATAAAGTCGTCTTCCTGTTCACCATGAGATGTAAGCTAGCCCAATGAACAATGATTCCAGCAGCTGTGGTGAAAGTGGTTTCTTTTATGGCACATGAGTGTCATTGGCTCTGCCATCAGGAAGAAACACTCAATTCAATTTTGATTTCAATAGAGACTCTTTGAAGCACATATATTTTTGTAAGGGCTAAACAGATTGGATGCAGGGGTGTTGAGTCCCCTGTCCAGGATGCAGTGTTGATGGTGGTGGTTGTGTGTCCAGAACAAGCGAAAATGCCTTTAGGATACTGGAAAAGCCATTTTGGACAGAGGTAAGGTAGGATGTCTCCTCTGAGGTGAATCAGTGGAATTCTTTACCAGAGAAGGCAGTGAATATGTTTTGAATATGAATATGTTTAAGAAACAAATAGATAAATGTCCAGAGTGGTTGGAATGGTCAACAGGTATAAGAAGAGAGTGGGACTGTGGCACTGTGAAAAAGTATCAGTCATGAACATGTTGAATAATAGAATGGGCTCGAGAGGTAAACAACTTACTCCTGCTTCCATTTTCTATGTTTCTAGATTTCTAAGTTAAATGAAAGCCACAAAGAATATTCTCCCACATCAGCAACCCTGTTACAAGTGTTTATGTTAATCAAAAGGAGATTTCTGCCAGGAGATTCATGTACAAAGACCAGAAAAAAATTGCAGTAGTGAATTTTAAGATATATCAAAGTGACTCAGTGTCCAGATGAAACTTTAAAAGCTCTTTTAGTTGATGCAGGATTTTTTATTTTTCATCTGATGAAGAATTGTTTTATTAATTTGGAAGTAGTGTATTGTATAAATTTAAAACATTAATGCAAGAACAATTACTTAACGTAACTAAGTCTGTAGCAAGAATATATCGATTGAGAAATTTCTGAGTGAAGTTTGCTGGAAAACAACTTACTGAAGGAAATCCAATCAGCAGTCAATTACTGTGAAACTCAAATCATTGTTTAACAGAATTTTCTCATTTTCCTCTCTTGAATGTGGAGGTTGGTGGAGGTATTGAAGAACTTCAGACTTGAGATCCTCAGGGGCAGTTTTCTTGAAATCTGTTACATTTGTGAGGAAATCTATCAGACATTCCCCATTTTCATTTCCTTCAATGAAACATTCTGTGATATCAAAGTAAGAGGGATACTCATAACTCTGATATGTCACTCTCATTTCATCAAGCACTTTTCGCACATCAATGGGACCGCTTTCTCTAGGTAAACGGGATCTGAATTTTTTCCAAAGTGAATTCCATCCATTATGACCTGTTCGTAGTAAAATTTGACACGCAAAACAAAATTTAAAAGTATCTCATGTAGATTTCCCCTGGGGGACAAAAAAGAATTTATTGACAATATTTACAAATTATTCATGATTTTTCAGAAAGAAAACAATCTGTTGTCCTATTTATTCGGTCTATTAAGCAACTAGACTTATTGCAAAAATATATCCAATGGCAAGAAGGCATTCATAAAGTATTGAAAATCGTGTATAGTTTGAATATCATTAAGTGTAAAAAGCTGAGTTAAAAAAAAAACAATTTTTAAAAAAAATCATTTCACCAATATCAAATATTGGTGAATCAAAGTAAATTGCAGCACATAAAATAGGCCATTCAGTCCATCAAATGTTTCCTCCTACATTTAACGTAATTCTTAGTTTTTCCCCATATCTTTGCATATTTCCCCCTTTTTTAAGCATTTAATTCCCCGATGAAAGTATCTGCTAACTTCACTTCAGCTATAGTTTCTTCAGAGAATTTCACATTCTTTATGAAACAATTTTTCTCGTCTTTATACTTCTGTAATATTTTCTTTAATATCACAGTAATACAGAATTTCTACAGTTTAGAAGGAGATATTTGGCCTTTCATGTCTGCACTGGCTCTCCAACTTCACTGATTTTAATTCTTCTGCCATCTCCTCAAAACCCTGAACATTGTTAACTTTTAAGTAATCGTTTAATTCCCATTTACTGCTTTAATTGAACATGCCTCCCCATGTCCTCAGCTAGTGCATTCCAGATCTTAACTGCATGAAAAGGCTACTTTTCTCACATCACTTTTGCTTCTTTTGCCAATTAATTTAAATCTGTGCCCTTGCGTTCATGATCTTTTCATGTGTGAGAACATTTTTGTCCAGACCCACCATGCTCTATTGGATCTCTTTTCAGCTTTCTTTTCTCAAGGAAAACAGTCTTAACTTCTTAAACATAAATTTATAACTTACATTTCTCACCCTCGGAATATTCTTTGAATTATGTTCTGCACTCTCTTCAATACTTTCATGTCCTTCCAATAGTGCAACACCCAGACTAGACATAATAGTCTAGTTGGCTAAAGCCAAAGTTTTGTCTTATACAAGTTCAATATAACCTTCTTGCTCTTCTACTCTATGTTTTCATTAATAAAACCTAGGATACTGAATGCTTAATTGCCTCAATTTGCTCTCTCAACCTCTCCTGCCACTTTTACTGATTCATACAGTTACAACAAAGTCTCCTTGCTTTTGCCCTCCCTTTAGAATTGTATAATTTACTTAATATTTTTCTCTGTTTTCCCAAACAAAATAAATCACCTCACATTTCTACACATTAAATTTCATCAGTTGTTTCTCAAACCTCTGAAATATTAATATTGATCTCTCTTTCTGCATCTTCTCTATGACTGTGACACTGCTTTCTGCACTCTGTTCTGCTACCTTGACACATTTTATATAGTACAATCTGCCTGCATAGCACATAAAACAAGACTTTTCACTGTACATGTGACAACAATAATTCAAATCAAATCAAACTTGTCTATGAGACAACAAGGTGCAGAGCTGGATGAACACAGCAGGCCAAGCAGCATCATAGGAGCAGAAAGGCTGACGTTTCGGGCCTAGACCCTTCATCAGAAAAAACTTGTCTATGTCCTTTTGGTAGCTCTACATTAATCTTTTTGTAGTTTAATATCTCGAAGTTTCATATCATTTTCAATATTTGAAATTATGCAATGCACACAATGTTTAGACAATTAATATATATTAGTAATAGTCAGTGACTCAACACTAGCACCTGGTGAATTCTACTGCATACGTTCATCCAGCACAAAAAAAATGCCAACAACTTGTACTCACTGTTTCCTGTCACTCAGGCAATTTCAAATATATGTTGCTACTGCCACTTTTATTCTATGACAATATTTGACTACTTGTAATCACCTCACTAGTGAAAACACTTTCCCACTAATGAGTCATTAAACTTTCTATAACATTGTCTTTTCTCTCCTTCAATGAAATAAGGGCAAACATCTGATGTAATTTCCCTCCAAGTAGAAATTTTCATCAGCATCATGATTTGAATGAAATTATGCTTTTTGAATTGTTATTTATAGCCTTTCAATAAAGAGCAACCCAAATTTGCACACAATGTTCTAAGTATAATATGATTAAGACTTTTATTCTGGTTCCACTTGACCTTGGTGAACCAATTTTCACATGGAAGCATTAGTTTGGTAGTGTAAAGTAAACAGGATGATGTTTGATGCAGGAAATGATGAGTTGGTGAAGACAAGTGTTTCCTAATTCTACTGTGGATATTTCTGTAAAAGTAGAGCATACAACAAAGAACAATACAGCAAAATGTTGAGCTGAACATGATACCAAATTAAACTGATCCCTTCTGCCTGCCCTTGTTCCATATCCCTGCATATACATGTGCTTATCTAAAAGTCTGCCTCCACCACACTCGTGCCACTCTGTGTAAAAAAACGTGCTTCTCACATGCCCTTATTATTTCCCTCCTCTCACCTTAAACGCACGCCGCCTAGTTTCAGACATTTCAACTGTGGGAAAAAAGATTCTGACCGTCAACCCTATCTATGCATCTCATATTTTTATAGACCTCTATCATGTTTCCCCTCAGCCTCTGCTGCTCCAAAGAAAATACCCTGAGATTTTCTAGTCTCTCCTTGTAGCCCTCATGCCCTCTAATCCAGGCAGCATCCTGGTAAACCTCTTTTGCACCCTCTCCAAAGCTTCCACATCCTTCCTGCAATACGGCAACCAGAATTGAACACAATACTCTAAGTGTGGCCTAACCAAATTCTTATAAAGTTGCAACATAAGATCCTGATTCTTGTACTCAATACCCCAACCAATAAAGGCAAGCATGCTATACAGCTTCTTTACCACCCTATCTACTTGCATGGCCATTTTCTGGGAGTATGCACTTGAACCCCAAGTACCCTCTGTACATCAATGCTGTTCAGGGTCCTGCCATTAATTGTATACTTTTTCTTAGCATTTGATCTCCCAAAGTGCAGAACCTCCCACTTACTTGGGTTAAACTCCATCTGCCATTTCTTTGCCCATATCTGCAACTGATCTATATCCCTCTGTATCCTTTGACAACCTTCTACATTATCCACAACTCCACCAATCTTTGTATTGGCTGCAAATTTACTAACCCACCCATCTACGTTTTCATCCAATTCATTGGTACTTATCATAAATAGCAAAGGTCCCAGTGCTGATCACCGCGGAACCCCACTAGTCACAGACCTCCAGCCTGAAAAACACCCTTCAATCACTACTCACTGACTTCTATGTGCAAGCCAATTCTGAATTCACGCTTCCAAGTCACCTTGGATCCCATGCATCTCAATCTTCTGGATGAGCCTACCATGAGGGACCTTGTCGAAAGCCTTACTAAAATCCATGTAGACAACATTCACTGCTCGACCCTCATCGATCATCTTTATCATCTCCTCAAAAAATTCAATCAACTTGGTAAGACATGACCTGCCCAGCACAAAGCCATGCTGACTGTCCCTAATGAGGCCTTGCTTTTTCAAATGTGCGTAAATTCTATCCCTAAAAATTCTCTCCAATAGCTTCCCAACTACCAATGTGAGACTCACTGGTCTATAGTTTTCTGGTTTGTCCCTATTTCCCTTCTTGAACAAAGGAACAACATTAGCTACTCACCAGTTTTCTGGGATCTCTCCAGCAGCTAGCAAGGATACAAAGATCTTGGTCAAGGCCCCAGCAATCTCCTCTCTTGCCTCTCTCAATAACCTGGGGTAGATATCATTGGGCCCCGGGGACTTATCCACCTTAATGCTCTTCAAGAGACCCAACACCACTTCTTTCTTGATCTCAAAGTGCTGTAGCATTTTAGCATGCTCCACACAAATGTCACTATCCTCCATATCCTTCTCCTGGGTGAATATTCATTTAGGATCTCACCCACATTCTCTGCCTCCAAGCAGGAATTTCCTCCTTTATCCTTGAGTGGTCCTACCTTTTCCCTAGTTATTCTCTTGTTTTTAATGTATCTACAGAATGCCTTAGGATTCTCATTAACCCTACTTGCCAAGGTCATTTCATGGTACCTTACTGCTCTCCTAATTCTCTGCTTCAGTTCTTTCCTGCTCTCTTTATATTCCTCACAGGTCCTGTCTGATTTCAGCTTCCTAAACCTTATATGTCCTTTTTTCCTTCTGACTAAATTCACAACCTCCCTCGTTATCAAAGGGTCCCTTACCTTGCCATCCTTGTCTTTCATCTTTACTGGAACACGTCAGTTCTGAACACTCATCAGCAAGTCTTTAAACAATTTCCACATGTCAAATGTGAACTTGCCTGATAACAGTTCCTCCCAATTAACACTCCCTAGGTCCTGCCTAATACTGTCATAATTTGCCTTCCCTCAGTTTAGTACTTTGCCACAAGGTCCTGATTTATCCTTATTCACATTTATCTTAAAACTTAAGGAGTTGTGATCACTGTTTCCAAAATGCTCTCCCACTACAAGGTCAGCCACATGGCTCGGCTCATTAGCCAGTACAAGATCCAATATGGCCCATCCTCTAGTTGGACTTTAGTTGGACTAAAGTTAAAGAATATCATCCTCTGGTCAGAACGCGAGAGTTTACTGTGGCAAGGTTTAGAAAGGATGTAGGAAGTAGATAAAGTACAGTTAAAACAGACTTGTTTGAAAAATTTGATGCTGCCCATTAGTATTCAATTACTACAGCAATGTTACATTTCAACACCATTTACAAATGGAGTATCTTTAGAATCTTTAGGTAACTTTGTATTTTTGAAACACAACAGAAATTAATAGGTACAGGCATGAGGGCTAACTTCCAGGTGATTTCAGTAATAATAATTAGTTACTTACAATGCACAGCATTGACAGCTATCCATTGCTTTCTGTCATCTGGTCAATTATTTATCTACTTTGCAATTTTTCACTTTATTGTTTGTTAATTCTTGTTTGTTTGTTTATTACAAATTTCTTGTGAAGGAAAGGTTGCTTTAGTCCCAGAGATCTGCTCTCTCATGATAGAAAGGCAACTGGTAATGGTTTAAGGAGGAGCAAATTATTGCAGATGCTGGAATCTGTACTGAAAACAAACAATGCAAATCACAACGGGTCTGGTAGCATCTGTGGAGAGAGACAGAGAGCAAGCTAATCTTTTGAGTCTGGCTGACTCTTCATGAGCTGACGTGATGTGTGGAGGGTGCAGCATTTATGTAATGGTGGGTGGGTCAGGTAAGGTTCTGGGTGAGAAAAGGTATTGATAGAGTAAATTCAGTGATTGGAATGTGAGAATGGCAGAACAACGGTGTCTCTAACTGCCAGACTGGAAAGAACTGATAGTCCCACTGGAGTTGGGAGGGGGGAAAGAGGACATGGTGCCAGAGAATGTAACAAGTAAAGCTAAAAGAAATGGAAGGCATGGGGATGTGTTTATAATCTGAAGGTTTTGAACTCTGTATTAAGTGCAGAAGGTTGTAAAATGCCTTGTCTGAGGATGAGATGTTATTCCTCCAGTTTGAGCTGTGATTCACTGAAACACTGCAGCATGCTAAGGACAGACATGTGGGCATGCGAGCAGGATGCTGTGTTAAAATGACTGGCTACAGGATTGGTTTAACCTAAGGGTTACCACATGTCCTGCAAGAGGAGAGGTTGAGAATGAGGGACCTTCATAGTAACCTCAGCTGTTATGGGAATTGAACCTGTATTGTTGATATCACCCAGCATTGCAAGCCAGACATCCAGCCAAATGAGGTAATCAAACCCCAGGAAAGCCAGGAGGTAGATGAATATAATAGATGTGAATTTGGTTATCTTCCCTGTAGAGTTTCAATTTGTGCAGGTAAAAGGCTGCAGAGAATAACAGTACAAGATTATCAGAAATATTGGACAATAACTTATTTGTATTCTGTATTATTAGAAGTTTGCCATTCCTTTCCAGAAGGCTCTGAAAATACTTGATAGTATGATGCACATTTTCCACAAAGTATAACATCTAGTCAGGAAAAATAAAAACACAATTGTGGTCTTAAATAAGGCAAATCCATATTTTAAAATTAATTGGGATACAATGATCAGTGTCTAAAAATAGGAGCTTTGAAATTCTGGTTGGCATATCCTGGAATCTTTGATCCAATGACAACAAACTTGTTTAAGAAATCAGTTTCATTCTGTGAAATATCATAAGGAAATAGCAAGGTTTAAATGTAAGAATATAAATATAATGCTGGCATTTCAGAGGAGGTATTTTTCTGTTGATATCTGGAATGAGTGGTAATTTCTTATGAGGATAGGTTGGACAGACTAGACTTGTTTCTGCTGGAGTTATGAAGAGTGAGTGGATTTCATTGAAGCCTATGAGATCCTGAACAACCTTATGAATGTCAATATCAAAATGTCATTTTGTGTTTTGGGTGAGCCCAGACCCAAGGCAGCTGTCTTTAAAAAATAGACGTCGCCCTTTTAGGATTGAGATGAGGAGAAATCTTCCTCTCAGCAAGTTTTGCAGCATTGGAATTCTCTCCCTCACAAGGTGGTGGTATGGAGTCATTGAATACTTTTAAAGCAGAGTTAGAATCTTGTTCTGCAAATAATTGAATGTTATTGTATCCCTTGCTGGGACTGTGGAATGGAAGAGAACTTAGGAGCAGTAATGCTAGTTAATGGAGTAGTATGCTTCTCCTGTGAGATGTGGGAGATCAGGGAGAAGTCAAATTGTCTGCAGGAAGAAGGAAGTATTTCCACCTGCTCCTTCTATCAAACCACATGGATCAGATGGAGTGGTAGTTGGACCCACTGAGGAGCATACACAATGCAGAAAGTTTTGTAGATAGGAGTTTCAGGGATGTGGTCACACCAGACAGGTGGTGACCACCAGGAGAGGCAGGCAGGCAGTGCAGGAGTCCCCTAAAGCCATTCTCCTGTCATTTTGGATACTGTTGGAGCTGTGGTACCTCAGGGGAAAATAACAGCAACAGCCAGATCAGTGACATCATGATTGGATCTGTTGTACAGCAGGAAGTGTCAAAGTGTAGAGAGGCAATAGTAATAGGGACTCTATAGTCAGCGGCATAGGTAGGTGTATCTGTGGCCGCAGGTGAAACTCAAGGGTGGTGTGTTGAAAGAGGAAGTTGAGCAGCCAGAGATGTCCCATTTCGGTAGCAACAACATAGACAGAAAGAGAGATAAGGTTCCGCAAAGGGAACTTAGGGCTTTAGGTAGGAAGTTGAAAAGCAGGACCTCTAGTGTTGTAATCTTGGGATTACTTTCTGTGCCAGAAGCAGGAAGATAGTACAGTTGAATGCATGGCTAAAGAGCTCATGCAGAAGAGAGGGTTTCAGTTATCTGGTTCATTTAGATCTCTCCCAAGGCAGGAGGGACCTTTACACGAAGAACAGGTTGTACCTAAACTGGAAGAGCACTCATATCCTGCAGGGAGGTTTGCTAGTGCCACTCAAAAGGGTTTGAACAGGTGTGGCAGATGGATGGGAACGAAAGCAATAGGTCAGTGTGTAGTGTGATTGAGGAGAGGGTCGAGGTTAAGTCAAATAAGTCTAAAAGGAAGAACAGGCAGGGTCAGGTTCATGAATATGGCAGAACTAGCGATCTGAATTGTATTTATTTTAACATAACGTTTATAACAGATGAGGTAAATGAGTTTCAAGCCTGGATTGCACATAGAACTATGATGTTGTAGCCATTATGGAAATTTGGTTGAGAGAATGCAGGACTGACAGGTCAAAGTTCTAGGATGTAAATATTTCAAATGTGATAGAAAAGGATGTAAAAGAAGTGGGGAAGTGTATTATTGTTTAATGAGAATGTCACAGCTGCAGCAAGAGAGGATATTTTAGAAAGCTCATCTAATGACGCCTTATGGGTAGAACTCAGGATTAAGAAAGGTACAATCACGATAATGAGGTTATACTGTCGGCCTTCCAATAGCCAGTGAGAGACAGAGGAACAGACTGTGGAAAGATGTAAGAGAAACAGGGTTGTTATACTGGGTGATTTTAACTTCCCCAATATTGACTGGGACTCCTTTGGAGCCAAGGGCTTAGATGGTGTAGAAATTGTTAGGTGTGTCCAGCAGGACTGCTTGAAACAAAATATAGATATAGTCCAACTAGGAGGGGTTGAACTAGACATTGTATCAGGGAATAAGCCTGAGCAGATGATTGAATTTTCAATGGGGGTGCATTTTGGAAACAGTGATCATAATTCCATAAGTTTTAAGATAGTTATGGATAAGGAGAAGACCGTTCTTCAGGTGACAATGCTAAATTGGAGAAGGCTAATTACAACACTATTGGGCAGACATGTTAACTCGGATTTTTCTTCACAGGTACTGCTAAACCTGCTGAGCTTTTCCAGCAACTTCTGTTTTTGTTCCTGATTTACAGCATCCGTAGTTCATTTTTTTTTTGTTAAATATTTCCACTAGTTGGGGATACTATGACTTGAGAGTATAATCTCTAGAATTGGGGCCAATTGGATCAGGAGAGATGTCAGGAAGCACTTCTAGATTACAAAGGCTGATAAATGTTTGGAACTCTCTTCCACAAGCAGTGGATGCAGGGTCCAGTTGCTGGTTTTAAATTTGAGATGGATAAATATTTTGTTTAGCAATGTTGTTAAGGGATATAGGCCAAAAGCAGGTACGTGGAATTAGGCCACAGATTATTGAATGTGGAAAAGGCACAAGGGGTTGAATGGGCTACTTCTGTTCCTACACTCTTATTGATGTTCACAGATCTTGTCTGAAGTCGATAAAATAACTAACCCTTTAGCCCACTCCATCACACAAGCCAGCCCTCCATCCAGTGACTCCTTCTACATTTCTCATGTCTCTGGAAGGCACCCAAGGAAATCAAAGACCACACCACCCCCCACACCCCCACCACCCCCAGTTTTAATCTCTTCCAACCTCTTCCATTGGGCAGCAGATACAAAAGATTATACACATGTACCAACAGATTCAAGAACAGCTTCTTCCCCACTGTTATTAGACTTCTGAATGGACCTCTCAAATTCTAAATTTAATGCTGATCTCACTCTCTGTGTACTTTTGCTGCAGCTGTAACATTGTATTCTTCGCTCTGTTCTATTACCCTAACGCACTTTGTGTGGTCTGATCTGCCTGTCCAGCATGCAAAACAAAACTTTTCAAGTGACAATAATAAATCAAACCAAATCAAATCAAGCCAAACTCTAATATTAGAAGACTCGAGGTGTAGGTACAGAAATAGATCATTCAGCTCATTGAGTCAGCTCCACCATTCTAGGAAATTATGGCTAACTGATAACTCGCAACTCTACTTTCATGGCTGTTCCACATAAACATTGATTCCCATACTGACTGAAAATCTGTCTATCTCAGCCTTGAATATACTTAATGATGCAACCTCCGCAAGCCACCTGTGATAAGGAACTCACAAGCAATCTACCCTCTGAGAGAAGAAATTCTTCTTCATCTCTGTCTTTAAAAGGTGAGCCCTTATTCTGAGATTATTTTCTCTTGCTCTGGGAAACAACCTTTCTTCACCTAACCTGCAAGTCCCTAAGAATCCAGTATGTTTCAAAAAGGTCATTTCTCATTCCTCTAAATTCCAATGAGTACAGGCCCAACCTACTCAATTATTTCTCATAAGGCAGTCCCTTCATAACTGGTATCAGACACATAAGCCTTCTCTGGACTGTCTCTAATGCAAACATATCTTTCTTAGATAATGGGCCTAAAACTGTTCACGGTATTCTAGCAGGTCTGTGGACAGAATTCAGAGTTAATGTTTTGGGTCCAGTGACCCTTCCTCAGAACCGTTCTTTCTTTCTATCCACCAAATTTTTCCTTACTTGCTAAACCTGTCTGAAGAAGAGTCTAGGCCCAAAACGTCAGCTTTCCTGCTCCTCTGATTCTGCTTGGCTTGCTGTGTTCATCCAGCTCTAAACCTTGTTATCTTTATAACTTCTGTGGACTCATTCTGTACCAGAGGTGCCAAGGGCAGGCATTTTAAAGATGGAGAACAATCTACAAGATTAAATGTCAAAATGAAATCAATTCTAAAACTGACCATGGTACTTAGAACCATGAGTATTTTAGACACTAAGCAGCATGCATGTGAATTAGATCCACATTCAGCCCTGACTGACAGGTTGAATGCACCCTGTCTGCTGGTTACAATGTTCACCTGAACAGTAGTTACCTGAATCATATGGATGAAATCAAACTTCTTGCTTTTGTTTCTCTCCTTATTTTGCTTTTCATATTCTTCTGAACACATCTGGTTCCAAGTGAAAGAGATGTTAAGTCCTTGATTCTTCCTTTTTACAAGCTCTGAAAGTAATGAAGAATTAGAAGGGCTTTCCTCTTGTTAATAAATGATCAGAAATGCTATCCTTTTTGCCAATTCATCGCATCCAGGTTTCTGAAACCAACTTTTAGACATGTTGCTGTCTGCTTTTAGGTGAAAACAGTGGCATGTTAGGTATAGTCAAAGGAAATAACATAATTAAACATTGCACTAATTTGTTTGCATTTCAACATATTACTGAAAATCATTAACTGTTTTGTAAAATGTACACATCTTTAATCAACAAATCCAGTAGAAAGTGGTGCTTTTTTTCATTCTTTCTTGCGGTGTGGATACCACTGCTGAGCCATGATTTATTGTCCAGCCCTAATTGTCCTTGACATAGTGGAGAGCCATTTTCCTGAACCTTTGCTGCCATTCGCTCTCTTTGCTCTCTGTAGGTATGCACACACGCTGTTAGGGGGGAAGTTCCAGGATCTTGATCTAGTGATTGTCAAGGAATGGCATATAACTCCAAGTCAGGATGCTGTGATTGATTAACTCCGTGGGTTTATTCATTTAGAGCAGTAAAACACATTTCAAATTATGAAATAGATATTACAGCAAGCCAACCCAATTCTATGTGTACAGCTGGTAAGCACAAAGCAGACTAATAGTCAGGCAAAGTCACAATATTATGTACACACTGCACATGGCGTCATTAAGGGCAAACCTTCTTAAAAGTAACGGACAGATATAACCAGTAGAGGTCCTGGGTTTGGAATGTGTTTTCAAAGGAGGATTTGAGAGTTTCTGTAGTGCATCTTGTATATGACACACGCTGTTGCTGGTATTCATCATTGGTGAAGGATATGAATGTTTAAGGTGGTGGATGGGCTTCTGAGTTTTGTCTTGTATTGTGTCAACCTTCTTGAGTGTTGGTTGGCTTGCACTCATCCAGGCAAGTGAAGAGTATTTCATCACACTCTTGCCTTTTACCTTATAGATGGTGGGTTGACTTTGGGCAGACATTGGGTATGTTAATCATTGCAGAATTTGAACTACACAAGCTGCCATGGATTCTTTATTGTCTCTTCCAGGAGGCTCCCATGTGTAATAGTAGCCTCAAGTAAACAAAATGCCCAACTGACTTCTGCAGTAGGTGGTTCAAAGTGCCTATCTTTATTTTAGGCATTCATTGTTACATGCTTATGCTGATTTTTTGAAAGAACCATTAATTAGTTTTATTTCTGTGAGTTGGACAACTTTCCTGTTCAAATTTGTTTTCTTCATTAAAGCTTAATGAACTAGACATCAATTGTTACAAAAGTTGATTTGGTTCTTGATGTTTAATGGGCTCCTGATGTACAATCCAAGATGTGTACTCAGTCAATTCCAACATTATGCCTCAATATAATGGTAGGATTCTTATTACTGAATTCATATCTCACTGTTAGAGCTCAGTGGGATGCTTCACAATACCAGCATGACTATTGCAAGCAGTAATTTAATCAAAACACTTTTCTTGTGCCTGGTCAGTTGTGATACAGCACACTGAAACAGTGATCTGGGTTATCTTGGGTAATGAGTGGCTGCACATACATCGTCCCTGAGGCTGCTTGCTCCTTGTGTCAAAGATAGGCTTTTCAACTCCTTATCTGCTGGAGCACTCGTTTGTTTATAACTGCACATAGCAATTTATCCAATACAGCTCTCTAATGTAGAACCTAAGATCCCTCTCTCTCTACAATACTTATTCTAGACTGGCTGCCTGTGTCTTGCGTCTGTCAGAGTCATGTCACCAGTTACATCACAATGATTTACATCGATCTCTTCATATTATATTTCCCCTCAGGTTTCTCCCTACTTGGTCTAAATTATTCCAGTGGTTTCGTTTTACTTAGTTACATAGTGTTTGTTATCATTAACATCAGTACTACCATTGTCAAGGTTATCACCCGGTCTCAGCATGGACTCAACTCCCAGCTTTGAGGTAACAATAAATCTAATTCTAATTCCAGTACCAATATACACAGCCAATCCTCCCTCACTGGAATCTGAATCTCACAGGTAGATGTGGATCTCTGACTGGGCATGCCATTCTGACTCATTTGAGTTCAATGTTAGGGTGATGGTGCTAATTTATGTCTGGAAATGTTATACCACTATGTACACTTTTTGCAGTTTAGGTTTGGATGCCCATATCTTGTGATAACCATACTTGGTCTCATATCTTGGACTGGGTAAGACAAATGGCCTCCTCTTTCCACTGAATGTTCTGATAATGAAAGATCTCAATTCATCTGTTTGTCTGTTTATCATGTCTTTAGACTTCTATCCCTTAACCCAACTGTCTGTCCTGGCTTTAAGATTGTCAGTTTCCACTCTGGAGTTGCACCACGTCAACTGCTTTGTGGAATTTCTTGAGTTACTTTACTATTTGTACGTCTTCAGACATTTTTTATAATTTGAGGCTGAGCTCCAAAATTGGTATACCCATTTTTAACTTCCTTGCAATTAATATTTGTACTGGCATATACTCATTATTCAATGGTGTTGGTCTTTAACTGACTAGAACTAATTCTAATGCAACACTTACTTTTTTATACAACTAAGGGTGGAATTGAAAAATGGTCACCTCTTGTTTGCTCTCAACTGGTGTCTCCTCTTTACCTGATGTCAGAATCATGCGATCAGTTACATCGTTGTGATTTACATAAAACTCCTTATGCCACACTTTTGCCAATTCTATATCTTTATATCTTTATGTTCCATACATACTAACACGAAACTGCACTACATTCATAGAGGAAAGCAAAGGAAACTTCGGATAACCCGAAGCCAGGGAGAGACAAAGATTTTCAGATGTGGAGGAGGAATTCAGGAATGGTGAAGTTATAAGCCAGAGTTAATTCCAGATCATCAGAAGCTGTTGTGTAAGAAAAGTAGGAAATGTATGTGGAGACAACCTCCTTATTGGGCCAGCCCATGTAACATCCAGGAAATGTTGAGAACTGTTCATAAGTAACTTTACAATACACAATTTCTTCTTCCTCCAGGAAGATGCTGCAGTGTTTACTTCTGATCATAGTTTAGGTCAGAAACAACATTGAGCTTTCCCCATTTGTTTGTAATTGATTGTAAAATGACTCAGGTCAGTGAGCAGAAACATTGAATTTAAAAAGCAATATTTTGTGAACGATCATGCGCTTGATCATAGAATATAGTAATTCATAAATGATTAACTTATCTTTGCCAAAATTAGTTACCAGCCATCTTTGTATTGTGTATTATAACTATGTTTTCTACGATCAAATAAAAAGTATTTCTGTCTCATCTACTAATGAACATGGCCAGAAACATATTAAAGTTGAGTTCAAGCAAAACTGCTGCTTTCATCTGAAAGCACACATTGAATATCAGCATCTAACCTTAAAAGGTTACCTTTGTACTTGAAGATTTGTTTAGGATTAGGCTCCACCACTTCATTGTGAATTGAAACACCTGGATGCTTGGACTGAATTTTCTCAAGTATTTCAAAGTCTATTTCACCTGAATGAAGAAATAGAAAATTGCTGAATATTTCTTTCCAAATGTTCATTAAATCAACTGAAATAGTTAAACTACATTGAAACTGTTAGGATTTTACTGGTTCCTATAGCGAGATGGGTCTGGGTGGGCTGCTCCGAGGTTCGGTGTGGACTTGTTGGGCCGAAGGGCCTGTTTCCACACCGTAGGGATTCTATGATTCTATGATTCATTTCCATTTTTGTTTATCTTTCAAATCTAATTTCACTGACTTGAAAGCAATACAATCAATTCTTATGAAAATACAGCTAGCTAATTATGTTTTCATTGAATTCTGCAATTTTACTCAAGTCTGTTAATTGTTTTCAAAATAGAGAGTAAGGTGAATACATTGAAATAAAATCAAACAGATGAGACAGAATAATAGTCATAGGGAAGTAAAACAACACCAATAATCATTGGACATCCTGGGGTGGATGTGTGTATGTGTTTTTCTTAATTCATTCATGGGATGAAGGCATCACTGGCTAGGCAGCATTTATTGCCCATTCCTAATTGCCCAGAGGGCAGTTCAGAGTCAACCACATTGCTGTGGGTCTGGAGTCACATGTAGCCCAGACTAGTTAATGATGGCAGTTTCCTTCCCTAAAGGACTTTAGTGAACCAGATGGGTTTTCCCAATAATTGACAATGGATTCACAGTCATCACTAGATTGTTAGTTCCAGATACTTATTGAATTCAAATTCTACCATCTGCTATGGTGGGATTTGAACCCGGGTCCCCAGAGCATTATCTGGGTCTTTGGGTTAACATTGCAGAGATAATACGATGAGGCCAGTGCATATGTGCATGTGTGCATATGTGTGTGTTGCTGAGGGGTTTGGTTTCTCCTCCATCTGTGCTTCCTTATGTGCCTCCCTGCCTAACTTCCAACTCACCCACTCATTTGCCTCCTCAGAGTGCCTGATCCGTCTTTAGCTATGTCTGTGTTGTCCATGATGCTTTTGGCTGGACCTCCCTATGGTCTCAGCACTGCTCTGTTCTGGCACTGCTGGGTTCACAATCACTGTTGACCAGTCGTCAGGACAGGACTTCCATAATGTTCTGGGCTGTGCTCACAGCCTTCTGTAGCATCTTACAGTCCTGGACAGAGCAGTTGCCATACCAGGCCATTATGCACCCAAACAGTATGCTTTCTATGTTGCACTGTAAATGTTGGTGAGGGTCCTTATGGACATGTTAAATTTCCTGAGCTGTCTGAGAAAGAAGAGGTGTTGTTGTGCCTTCTTGACTGTCATATCTACGTGAAAAATCCAGGACAGGTTGTCAGTTATTGTCACTCCTAGAAACTCAATGTTCTTCACCCTCTCAACCTCAAGACCATTGATGTAAATGGGGGTGTGTTCTCCTCCCTTCTTTCTGAAGTCAATTATCAGTTCTTTAGTTTTGCCGATTGTTGGGAGAGAGATTGTTTTCATTGCACCAAGTCACCAAGGTCTCTGTTTCCTTTCTGTATACTGCCTCATCATTGTTTGATATCCGTCCTACCACAGTGGTCTCGTCAGCAAAATTGTAAATGTCGTTCATTTAGAACTTAGCAACACAGTCATGGGTATACAGGGAGTACAGTAGGGAGCTGATAATACACATTTGGAGGTTCCAGTATTGAGTGTTATTGTGGAAGAGGTGCAGTTGTCTATCTTCATTGATTGCAGTCTATGGGTCAACTAGCTGAGAAACCAGTTGCAGATGGTAGAGCTGACACCTAGGTCTCAGAGTTTTGAGATCAGTCTGGAGGGGATAGTGGTGTTGAAGGCAGAGCTGTAGTTGATGAGCAGGTGTCCTTGTTGTCCAGATGTTCCATGGATGAGTGCAGGGCTAGGGAAATGGCATCCACTGTGTACCTGTTACGTCAGTAGGCAAATTGTATGGGACTGAGGCAGGCTGGGAGACTGGAGTTGATGTGGGCCATGACCAGCCTCTCGAAGCACTTCACGATTATGGAGGTCAGAGCCACTGGCTAGTAGTTGTTAAGGCATGTTGCGTGTGCTTTCTTAGGTACTGGGATGCTGATGGTCTTCTTGAAGCAGTGGGGTCTACGGTTTGTAGGAGGGAGGGGTTGAAGATGTCTGTGAATACCTCCGCAAGTTGATTCACAGAGGAACTGAGTGCTTGGCTGGGGACTCCATCCGGGCCCTTTGCTTTCCTTGGTTGACCCCCCAGGGAGACCCATCTGACATCTGCAGCGGTGACAGTGAGCACAGGTGCGTCCGGGGCTGTCAGGGCAGGGGTCACTGCGCTGCTGGCATTCTCCTCAAACCAAGCATAGAGAGCATCAGCGAGGGATGTGTCTTTGCCTACTATCTTGCTCTGCTTCAATTTGTACCCTGTAATGTTCTTTAGGTCTTGCCACAGGCAGCGGGAGTCTGTTTGATTGGTTTGGGCCTCTAACCTGGTCCGGTACTGCACCTTGGCATCCCTGATGGCTTTGTGGAGGTCATATCTGGATTTTCTGTATAGGTCTGGGTCATCTGACTTGAATGCTGCATGTCTGGTCCCCAGTAGGGAGTGGATTTCTGAGATTTCAAGTTGGGGAACACCTGGATTGACTTCTTGGCATACTGTCCTCCACTCATCTGCTAGGTTTTTCACTGAGTTCTTGATGGTCCAGTCCAATGATTCCAAGCAGTCCCAAAGATGGCCTTCTGCTGCTCCAGACCAGCACTGTACTTCCTTTTGTGAAGGATCCTCTCATTTCAGCTTCTGCTTGTAAGCTGGGAGTCGGAACGCAGGGCTGTGGTCTGATTTTCCAAAGGGTTGGAGGGGGAAGGAGCAGTAGGCGTCTCTAATGGTTGTATAGCAGTGGTCCAGGATACTCGGTCATCTGGTGGGGCAAGAGATGTGTTGGCGGTACTTTGGCAGCATCCTCTTGAGGTTGGCTTTGTTGACGTCACCGTCCACAACAAAGAAGGCCTCGGGGAATTTCATCCCCAGAGTGTTTGTGGTTGTGTAAATTTCGTCTAGAAGTGGCAGATGGAGTTTAATTTAGAAAAATGTGAGGTGCTGCATTTTGGAAAGGCAAATCAGGGCAGGATTTATCCACTTACTGGTAAGGTCCTGGAGAGTATTGCTGAACAAAGAGACCTTGGAGTGCAGGTTCATAGTTCCTTGAAAATGGAGTCACAGTTAGATAGGATAGTGAAGAAGGCGTTTAATATGCTTGCCTTTATTGGTCAGTGCATTGTGTGGTGAGGAGCCTATTTGCATGCATTAACATACATTAATATCTCATCACTACCTCATCTCACCCTACTTTGATGTAGTTTCCATTCTTCCACCTGCCAGATAGAAATTAAATTAAACAGTGGCAATTTCAGGATTTGAGTGAAGATTCGTAGCTCAGGTGTTGGTTGTAGATGTTGCTGTGTTTGCTAAGCTAGGAGGTTTGATAGCAGACTTTTCGTCCCTTCACTAAGAGACATCCTCAGTGCTGTGGAGCCTCCTGTGAAGCACTGTTGTCTTGTGCTGGTGCAAATTTATATACAACCAGGAAACACCAAAACCTGAAACAATAACCACTCTACCATACATAAAAAACACCTCAGAAGTGACAGCCAGACTGCTCAGACCGCTAGAAATCATGACAGCAAACAAACCGGCAGCCACACTAAGACTGCAACTAAACAGGTGTAAAGACCCAACAGATACCATGGACAGAACAAATGTGGTTTACAAGATCCCATGCAGAGACTGCACAAAACACTATGTGGGACAAACAGGCAGGCAACAGGCAACTCACATACACAGTCACCAGCTAGCAACTAAACTACATCAGAGATAATAAGCACTGCTGATGCTAGAGTCAGAGATAACACCGTGTGGAACTGGAGGAACACAGCAGGCCAGGCAGCAAAAGAGGAGCAAGGGAGTTGATGTTTCAGGTCAGGACCCCTCTTCAGAAATGGAGATAGTAGGGTCCCGACCTGAAACGTCAACTTTCCTGCTCCTCTGATGATGCCTGGCCTGCTGTGTTCCTCCAACTACAGTACATGACCAGATGTCCTTGGTTTCAATACACGCAAATAAGAAAAACTACACTTTCAACTGGGACAACACTTCTAACGTAGGACAAGCCAAGCAGAGGACAACCAGGGAATTCTTGGAGGCTTGGCTTTCATCCACGGACTCCATCAACAAACACATTGAATTAGACCCAATATCCCGAACATTAAATGCACAATTGGAACCTGCACCTACCGGAAGCAGCAGAAACCACAACATACAAATTCGAACCGGCACAAGGCATCAACGCTTTATAGGAGGCTCCACAGCACTGAGGATGTCACCTAGTAAGGGGACTAAACATCTGCTATTAAACCTCCCAGCTCACCGAACATACCAACGTCTACAACAGGGACAGATCTCAATATGAAAGTCAGTAATTTGCTGGTAATCCAGACCTCTGCTTGCTCCTCAGAACCTCCTTCTTGGATCTCAGTCACCAACATCTCAGGGCACATATGAAGGGCTGTGAACACATGTACCACCACCCCTGTCCACAGAACCTAGCATCTGTCACCTGTCACAGAAAGCTAGCATACAATTCAGCAGGTAACAGGGAAGGCAAATGCAATGTTGATCTTTATTTGACAGAGAATTGAATATAAAAATACAAGGTACTAATTAGACCACAGCTGGAATACTATGTGGAGCTGGAGGAACACAGAAGGCAGCATCAGAACAGCAGGAAAGCTGATGTTTTGGGCCGGGACCCTTCTTCAGAAAGAAGAAGGGTTTTTTTCTGAAGAAGGGTCCCGACCTGAAACACCAGCTTTCCTGCACCTCTGATGCTGCCTGGCCTGCTGTGTTCCTCCAGCTCCACACCTTGTTATCTCAGGCTCCAGCATCGGCAGTTCCTACTATCTCTGCTGGAATACTGTGAACTCTTTTCTTCCCCTTATGTAAGGAAAGATATATTTGCTTTAGAGGACATCCAGAGAAGGTTCACTAAGTAAATTCTGAGTATGGAGATAAGGTTATTCCTGGGTATAGAGAAATAGATAGTTCACAAGCCTAAAGGGATCATAAGGCACGGGGAGAAAGCTGAGAAAAGGGTACTGAGTTGGATGATCAACTATGATCATGTTGAATGATAGACCAGGCTTGAAGTGCTGATTAGACTACACCTGCTCTTATTTTCTATATTTCCATAGTGAAACTGCATTATGAGGACAGGTTGAGTAAGTTGGATTTGGACTCATTGAAATTTAAAAGAATGAGAGGTGACCTTATTGAAACATTTAGTGCTTGAAAGGGTAGATGTTGAGAGGTTGTTTCCCTTGTTGGAAAATTTAGAATCAAAAGGCATAATTTCAAAATAAACCAGAGAGTGAATCTATGGATTTCCCTACTGCAGAGATCTATCAAGGGTGGAATCTGAGAAGTGTAGAAAGAAAGTTAATGACCTTCTCCACTCTGCCATGGAAGTGGCACAATCTTCTCTCCAGGACCACATTCTAACTCTGCTACTCCCACCAAGGCTGTTACCTGCAAAATCTTTCATCACGCATCTTTCCTGACGTTGTTAACCCTCCATGGCCTCTTCATTACCTATCCACTCACTCAGGGTATTTCCCACCTGCTCCAAATGTAAAGGCAAAGCAAGACGGGGATGTTGCAAGCATTCGGGTAGGCTCAGAGCGAGTGAGCAATAAGAGCAAAAAGTGAGTTGCTAACTGAAAACAAAACTTAAGCTTTAGAGAAAAATGAACCTTTTCACCCAACATCACTCATCCAATTTGTGGCAAATTGTGTGCAGACAAGTAGCATTCAGGGACAGGAAATGTTTAGTATCCCCACTGAAGGACTGGCCCTTGAACTCATAATGCCAAAATTGGTGAATAGCAACAATGTGAAATGGGGAGAAATAAAATTTTAGATACTTCTTTGGAATTGTTTGGACTTTGGTTAATTTTTGAGATCCACTGGTGGTGTCTCCAGAATCTCAAACTGCCGCATTCAAGTGTCTCCTCCAGGTTTCTAATGCCTCATTTGCTAAAGCTGCCACTTATATCCAGTTTGACACTCTCAAGGACAGTCAGATACAGAGAGCTATCGGATCTGCTGGACTCTCGCAAGGATGGGGAGTTATTAACACACATGCATCAAGCAGGTTTCCCTCAGAATAGTCCAGAATACTCATAAATCATCAATTGGAAGAATTGGAAATTACCATGCATACCTTTGAAAAATCCAGGCTGAAATTCTTCCTAAATCTATGCAGAGTATTGTATCCTTGCAGAGTGTGAATCGTTGGCTCCTTGGAATGAGGTGTATATTCTGAGGACCTAGCTGATGATGTTATAAGGCAGAGGTTGACCTCCCTCCCCAATAACTAAAACTGAAACATCCAGAGAGGAGAGCCTCACCCTACAATCTGTAAAAAAAATGAGTGTGAACAGTGGTGTAAGCTACCTTTTCCGCAACTTCTAGTGGTTAAGTAAAATAAACCCCTGACACTCACTTTACAATCAACAAGTTACAATTTATTTATCTAAATCTAACAGTGAACAAATTAATTAAACAATTAACAAACCAAATAAACTCCTTCTAATTACTACTTATTGCAGAATAAAACAAGATTCTAATGGTATGTTATTCCAATAAATATAAGTCCCTCTTATATAAAATAAAATTTTTAAAAATTAGTCTCTCGAAATTACAGCCAGGTTACATGTCTTCCGCAATGTTCTGTGTCTTCTCTGTCAAATGTTCTATCAGGAACGAATTCTCCGTTAAACGTTCTGTCAGGAATATTATCTAATTGTGCCATTGATACCTTTGATTTAGACGGTGCTTTCTCTAAGACTTAGAGCAGAGGTTGAGAACCAGCAATGCTCTCTCGAGAGCTGTTAACTCTGGCAGGAGGCAATTAATTCCTCTGATTTTTTCCAATTGCCCTCCCGTTTTATACCCTTGATGGCATATTAATTTCTTACAATAGGATTGACCCTATATTGTCAAAACCATCAGATTTAAATTTAATTGGTTTTTGGTATCTAAGTGCCTGATTCAAATTGATTGGCTAAAATCAAAACTTGTTGTCTTGACAACAAAACAAAACTGCTGCTCGGCCTGCTAACTGTACAGCTTTTTGATACAAATGTTTCAATTCAAATGCTCTCTGTTCACGTACAAACCCACAAGTTGCTGCCCGCAGATATCCTTTTTGAATCTCTAATCATAGAAATGTGCATCATCTTTGAAACACAACACGTGCTGTTTTCCCCATAGCCTTTTACAAACATCAATATTTTACAAACATCAAACTCTAAAGTCCTGCGTTCCAATCCACAAGTACTCTACCCAACTTCACAGCAATGAAGTCTGTGAGAAAATCTGCAAGTGATGCGGAAGAGAACAGGAGGTGAATTCGGATAGTGCCTCATCATGGGTATCTAGATGGTTGTAGTCTACTGTGCCCTCCAAAGATCTCAGTATACTGATGAATAGAACCGCTGGAAGAGGAAGGTTCAGGCAATTGGCATTGTACTTTTCCTATACCTCCACTGAGGAGTCAGATGGTGACCAGAGTGAAAGTAGTTACTCACCTATCTGCCAGCATATATGACAATGCCTCATATCCACCTGGCTGAACATAAACTATTCCCATTGTCAAAAATCCAGTTGTTTTTCGCAGACCATATACATGTGTTCCTTCAGGAGTTGTGATCAGTATGTTTTGTGATGAAAGTGTTGCTTGTTTTCATATCTGATTCCCTGGATTATGTGACCCAATGAACAAAATCACTCAGTAGCAAGGTTGTGTGTGTTTAGAAATTAAATCTGTTTATACTCACAAACTCGCGGCCACACCTTCACACATACAATCTCATACACATACAGGTCGGATAGAAATGAAGGAAACATGCTGGTAAAGATTATTCTGCCTGTCTGTGTCCAGATTTTTTTTAAAAATTGATTGAATATTACAAGGGCACAATATACAAGGGAATGACACATTACATTCCCTCCTTCCCCGTCTTACAATTCTGTCATGTCATCCCAGTAAAGCATTCTCCACATAGAATACAATATAAAGAGAAAGAGCATAAGAATTACAATTTGAGTATTACATTTCTTTGAGTAAATACCATGAATGTAACTACTGTGCAAATATTATGGGAGAATTTAATTCCACCTCCCAGTGCCAAGTCAAGTTCCAAGTTTTTCTTCATAAGAAAATTTCTTTTGCCATGTAATTTCACCAAACTCAATTTCAAATGCAAATTTGATTTGATTGCTCTATGTAACATTTATTAAGGAGTTTATAAAATTCTTATGGGTATATTTTCACATTGGTTGATTCACAAGTTAACAAATTAGTTATTGCAGGGGGAAAATGCTAAATTAGTTGCAATTCTGAAATCAATGCAAAGGTTTTGCCAGTATCATTATATTCCTTCGCTCTATCTGTGGGTTTTTGCTTATTCCCTTGGAACTATATGATAAATGGAAATTCTGAGCAGACTTCCATAGTTATAATGGTAGCAACATCGCCACAGCTATTTGTTGGAGCCTTGGTGCAATTGCAGGCTTATCAGACAATTAATTGCCTAGTGTTAGCACTTTCATCCTTTTAAGGATCCCCCATGTGGATTATTCTTGTGTTTTCTACAGAATAAAATATAAGGGTTGTAACAACATTCAAACATGATCTGTTTCTTTGTATGTTACAGTAAATATATACATATATTTATAATGAAATAATGGTAACTGTAGGGCCTACCTGAACCACTTCCTACCCCCAGCACATTTAGACAGGAGGCTCCGTTTTTCCCAATACTGCAAATAAAGAAAATCTTTATTTTGAACATTCATTAAACTGCATACAATGACATTTCTCAGAACATTGTAAATCTTAATTTTAACATTCAAAAGATTAGCAGTTGATTCACATACCTACAAAGCAAAAAGTATCAAATTGTGCAAATTATGCTACTAAATATGAACAAGCAATTAGTCTAAGTTTTGCAATAGCAATGTAGTGAATCTTCAGCACCCATTATTACTCATCTGAAATTAATTGCAATGGAGGTCACACATACAATTAAAATGGAAATCCAAAATTGGGCAGCACGGTGGCTCAGTGGTTAGCACTGCTGCCTCACAGTGCCAGGAACCTGGTTTCAAATCCACCCTCAGGTGACTGTCTGTGTGGAGTTTGCACATTCTCCCCATGTCTGCATGGGTTTCCTCCATGTGCTTCGGTTTCCTCCCACTGTCCAAAGATGCGCAGGTTAGGTAGATTGGCTGTGCTAAATTGCCCGTAGTGTTCAGGGATGTATAGATTAGGTGGGTTATAGGGGGATGGGTCTGGGTGGAATGCTCTGAGGTTCGGTGTGGACTTGTTGGGTGGAAAGGCCTGTTTCCACACTGTCAAGATTCTATGATTTTCAAAATGTTCCTGTCACTGATTCTATGCATTTGGAGATGCTGTATTATTGAGGTACTTCAATAATGCAATAAATTAGAAATCAAATATTGGATGAAAGCAATCTTTTACTCTCAGCATTGTAGTAAAACCCTTTGAAAAAGTTATTATTTTTTGAATTAGGCTTAACTGAAATTTAACTGGCATACCCCACTTGCACGTAATTGCAAGCAGCATTACTGAATCTGAATGTTTAGGCTTATATTTGTTGAATGTCAATTCTTTTTACACTTTGACAAGAAAATTAACAAATGTTTTGTTTTTTCCAAAGGTTATGATATTTTAGCTTCCACCTTAATACCTAGTCAATATCTGAACAATTTATTCCACAATCTATAATATTTAAAAGTTATTCCATTTCCAGTTTTTTCATCTTTTCTTTATGTGCAAATTATTTTAACTGTAACTCAGTACTAATTGGTTCCAATGTTTCACTACACCTGATCCTTCCTACAGTTCCATTAAGCCAAAATGTTGTGCTAGCCCTTCAATTTTTTCTGCCTTCTTAGCTATCAAAGGAAATTTTATTTCTAATTTATATGTCAATGGAATTAACCTGACTTTTATGGTCTCTTTTTATTCTGCCAGGGACATCTCTGCTACATGCTGGAAGTCTTTGGGAGTTTCTATTGGCATTATTATTCGGGTAGAAATAATGTGCATGAGAAAGGGGAAAAAGCAGGAAATTGACAGGAAGTCATTCACTTATTTAAGTAGCTGCACTACGTTCAAGCTCTTTCTTCTCTCTCCCTCTTGTCCTTTTTCACTTAGCTTCTGGATTTCTGGAGAAAGAAATAGCAGTAGTGACAACATTGTGGGGAGTACGGCAGTGGCTGTGGGTCTTGAGTGGTGTCAGCTGGAGGCCTGGTGTGGGGAAGTGGCTGAGGTCGCAGAGCATTGTCGGCTGGAGGTCCAGTGTGGGAAACTGAGACCAATGTGGTCAGAGCAAGCCTGAAATGCCAGTGAGGGAGGTCTCCCAGTATCTGCAGTGTCGTGAGCAGGAAGCCTGAGATTTCCCAGACATTAGGCCAAAGCGGAGGAAACTGAGCCCTTGCAGGGAGTGCGCTTAAGAAAGACTGTTGAACTTTTATTATAAAAATCTTACCTCGCGTGACTGCGGCCTTTCAGTTGTTTCAGTGGCTGGAGTCTGGAAGAAAGCGCGAGGGCAGCCTGGGAAGGTAAGCTTCCACCCAATAAATTTGGGAGTTAACTAATACCTGAGACACTACACGCGTAGTGTCTCCCATCCTTCCACCTCCTCTAACCTGATAATAACGACAAAGTGTGGTGAGCAGGTAAGCTATTTGCATTTTTTTACCTCATCTGTTTGTTATCTTTCGGGGTGGTCACCTAGACGCCAAATCTTCTGGGAGCGGGTCGGAAGGCAAAGCCGGAGTCTGTTTGAGTATATAACGGTGTAGACTTACTGGTGCAGAGAACACTGCGAAACTAAAAAAAAATTAATTAATTTTAAATAATTATCTAAGTAGAGATGGCAGGTCAAGTGATGTGTTGTAGCTGTATGATGTGGGAGCTAACTAATCCCATTGAGAACGGCAGTGACCATATCTGCAGCAAGTGTTGGCTCCAAACACTGCGGCACATCCGGGAGGGGGAGAAATACCTGGATGCTGTGTTCCAGGAGGCAGTCACACCTGGTAGATTAACTAATGTTAATTCGATTGGCAAGAAGGGACAGCAGTTTGTGACCACGAGTGAGGCAGGTAGAGGGACCCTGCAGACAGGGTCGCAGCCCTTGACATTGTCCCACAGGTATGAGGCACTTGCTCCCTGCGTGGATGAGGAACAGGGCTGCAGGAAGGATGAGTCAACTGACCAAGGCACCATGAGGCCATTCAAGAGGGAGGAGCAAAAAGACAGATTGTAGTTGTAAGGAATTCTATCATCAGCGGGATAGACAGTATCCTTTGCGAGCACAGACTTCTGGATAGATTTTCAAAAAAGTGAGTAAGAGGAATCTGACCTTTCTTTCCTATGTAGCCCATTGACATAGAAGTTAATTGTAGGATTAAAATGCGTTGTAAATCTGAGTAACATTGTATTCAAAATAGTGCTGGAAAAAGCAAGTTGTAACACAGACAACTTTTGGCATTAATGATTTACATGAGCAAGTTCAAAAATTCTTACATACTAAATATGTAACAAAAGCTAGGCAAAAATACTACACATAAAGGTGCATGTTTTAACAGCACTCATATTCTTTTAAACTGTACTTCATTTTCTACTTATGCTATCAAATTAGCATTGCAGTCCATTCTTTTATTTAAATGAGCAGCATTTTTAAATAATGTTGAATTACATTATAGCCAACACGAGTTCACGTTTTACAAATATCATTCCCCTATTCATCAATCGCTTTATAGCCAATTTACATTGCCAGAACATGCGCTATAAGAGAACCCCCTGTATAGGAGTTGGGAGATCATGTTGCGGCTGTATACAACATTGGTCAGGCCACTTTTGGAATACTACGTTCAGTTCTGCTCTCCCTGCTATAGGAAGGATGTTGTGAAACTTGAAAGGGTTCAGAAAAGATTTACAAGGATATTGCCAGGTTTGGAGTGTTTGAGATATTGAGAGAGGCTAAATAGGCTGGGGCTATTTTCCATCAAGCATCGGAGGCTGAGGAGTGACCATATAGAAGTTTATAAAATCATGAGGGGCATGGATAGGGTAAATAAGCGAGGTCTTTTCCCTGGGGTGGGGAATCCAAAACTAGAAGGCATAATTTTAAGGTGCAAGGGGAAAGATTTAAAAGAACCTAAGGGACTACATTTTCACGAAGAGGGTGGTGCACTTATGGAATGAGCTGTCAGAGGAAGTGGTGGAGGTTGGTACAATTTCAACATTTAAAAGGCATCTGGATGGGATATGTTTCGGAAGGGTTTAGAGGGATATGGGCCATATGCTGGCAATGGGACTAGAGTAATTTAGGATATCTGGTCGGCATGGATGTGTTGGACCGAAGGATCTGCTTCCATTCTGTACAGTTCCATGACTCTATGCTCTAATCCCTCAGTTTTGAACATGATGTCTTACCTGGTTATGATACCTGGTAGATCATTGTCAAAGAATTTTTTCATGGTGATGTTCATCGGATCGTGCTAAGAAGAGTTCAAATGACTTCAGATACTGATCCTGAAATGAGCACTGGGGTTTCAAAAATGACTCCATGTCTGGTTTCCTTCACTTAAAAAATGTGACGGTACATTTAACTGAGTTTTATTATCTATTTGTTAAAAAGGGATGTGGACATAACCTTGATCTGACTCCAGTATTGTTTGCTGTTGATAAACATTGCATTCTACAATGCATGCTTTGTTCAATAGTCTTTCTCAACCTCTCCCACCTGTTTTTGAGTCTTTTGAGTAAATGAACTGTTTACTCCAAAAACATTTGTTGATAAGCTTGTGTGTAAGGGGCAATTTCATTGTGACATCAGAACACATGGAACTGGAGCCTGAATCTATGTTGTTCCAGCAGATGTTGTCTTTTATCATCATTTGAATATGATTAGTTTATAAGAGCTATTAATGTTTACTCCAGGGGTATAGTCCTGACCAAACCACATGGTGGCAATGTTAACCAGACTGAAAGAATCAAAGGCAAATGCTGGAAAATGGTAGAAATGAAGCCTAGCGGCAGTATAGTGCTATGGTTTGCCAGACCCCGAAGACTGAACTTTGAGAGGCAAACTGGCTTTGATGTAAGAGAACAGAATATTTTCTTGGTGCTGGGGACTGACACCAATACAGACCATCGTTTAATCATAGAATCCCTACAGTGTGGAAACAGGCCCTTCGGCCCAACAAGTCCACACTGAACCTCAATGCATCCCACCCAGACCCATTCCTGAACACTACGGGCAATTTAGCATGGCCAATCCACCTAGCCTGCACATCTTTGGACTGTGGGAGGAAACCCACGCAGAGGATGTGCAAACTCGACACAGACAGTCCTCCAAGACTGGAATCGAACCTGGGTCCCTGGTGCTGTGAGGCAGCAGTGCTAACAACTGTGCCACCGTGCCGCCAAAGTCTGAAGTCAGAAGTCTGTCACCGTGCCAGTGAGGCAGCAGGCAATAGGGGAAGGGTGGCACTCCCACCATTGCTTCTTTTGTATCTTATGTCAGGAAAACTGTACCTCAGTGCCAACCCTGCATAGTCAGCATTACTGAGTGCAACCCATAATTTGATTAACAAAGCTACATGGGCATCTTTCGCAATAAGTCATTGAATACTAAATGCAGGTGCAACAGGCAAGTTGGAGGCTGATTGTACATTAGCCTTCATTACAGAAGAATTGGAGTGCAGGAATAGCAAAGTTTTGCTTAAATCACATAAAACCTTGGGATCTGGAGTACTGTGTGCAGTTTTTTTTTCCGTAGCTGAGGAAAGATATTTTTGTAATTGAGGGAGTGCAACAACAGTTTAGCAAATGTGTCTCCTGTATGGCAAAACTGCCCTTTCAAAAGAGACTGGAAAAACTGGGCTTGTATTTTCTAGCATTTAAAAGAATGGGAGGTAGATTATATGGAACCTAAAAATAAATAAGGTGCATAGGTTTGATGGTAAGGTAAGATGTTTCATCCAGTTGAGGAATCCAGACCCAGGAAACAACAGTTCCAAAAAAATGAAGAAGCCACTTTGAACAAAATGAAGGGACATTTTGTTTATCAGAGAGTCATGAGTCTTTGGAATTCTCTACAATACAGAACTGTGTATGTTCAAGTCCTGTCAAAGTAAAGGTTTTGGTAGATTTCTAAATGCCAATAACATAAAGGGTTATGGAGATGATGTGGACAAAATGTATTGAAGAGGATGATCAGCAATGACGATATTGAATGGGAGAGCAGGCTACAAAAGCCAAATAATCTTGTTCCTTTCTTTTCCATGACATTAGCCACTTTCAAGTGGCTCACCAAAGCAGCAATCAGAGATTTCAATCTGTGTAAAGTTTAAAAGTAGACTGCTCCAGCTTGCAAACATCAACGAAATAGATGCTATCAAAGACAAAAAGATATTTTCTTGGGTAATATGCTAGATCTATAAGATGATTTCTACTATGTTGATATCATGGTTAATGCCAAAAAGGTAGTAGCATACTGAATACAGGAGAAAGTGTATCCATTTTGACAGATCTGTGGTTGAAACCTCAATATCTTCCATTGGGAAGAATGACTAAAAGAATCACTTAACACCCCGGTCCACTTCAAGCAACAAAATGTTTCTTCTTCCAAAGTACATCACCTTCACTTATCAGGGTTAAATATCATATGCCACTGGTCTGCCCATCTGACCAACCCATCTATGTCTTCCTGTAATCTACAACCATCCCCTTTGCTATTAACTGCTCTACCAATCTTTGTGTTGTCTGCAAATTTGCTTAACATTCCCCGCAGATTTTCATCAATATCACTTATGTATATAACAAGCAATAAGATTCCCAATACTGACCTTATGGTACACCGCTAGACGCCGGCCTTCAGTCAACCAAACAGCCTTCTACCGCTACTCTTTGTTTCCTATTACTGAGCCAATTTCTGCTCCATCTCACCAAGTTTCCCTCAATTCCATGTGCTTTAAACTCTTCAATCAGCCTCTCATGTGGGACCTTGTCAAAAGCTTTGCGAAAATGCATATAAACTATATCAATTGAACTTCCCTCATTTACACACTTGATCATATTTTTAAAAATTTCCAATAAATTTGTTAGGCGTGAGCTCACTCTGACAAAGCTATGTTGACTATGCCTAATTAACCCATGCCTTTCTAAGTTGATATTAATTTGATCCTTCAAAATTTTCCCCAGTTGTTTCCCCACTACTGACATGAGACTCATTGGTCAATAATTTCCTGGTTCATCTCTACTACTACTCCTTTTAAAAAGTGAAACCATATTAAGCGTCCTCCAGTCCTGTCGCCCTTCCCCCGTGGCCAAAAAGGAATTTAGACATCATGTCAGAGCCCCTGCAATTTCCTGCCTTGCCTTCTATGGTAGCCTGGGATGCAATTCATCTGAATCAAGAGATTTGACTGTTTTTAAGGCTGACAGAGCCTCCAATACCTTCCCATTTCCTATTTCAAACTGTGCAAGTTCCTCATAGTCCCTTTTCCTGAATTCTGTACCTATGTTCCCCTTTTCCAGAGTGAAGACCGAAGAGAAAGTATTCACTTAACATTGTTCTAATATCCTGAGCTTCACACAAAGGAAGCCCCCATTGGTCACTAATGGACTGTACTCTTTCCCTGGTTAACTCCTTCTCTTTAATGAATTTATAATTTGGAGGGGCTCATGGGTGGATCCTAGAAATTTCCTTGCTGTGCTTATTCACAGGTCAATGAAAGTCGCAGGGCAAACTGATATTGTGGTTAAGAAGGCATATGGGATACTTCCCTGTATTAGCTGAGGCATGGAATACGACAGCAGGCTATTCTGGAGCTACATAAAAAGCTAGTTAGGCCACAACTGGAGTACAGTTTGAGAATACTTTATTCAAAAACATCAGGGCCCATTGGTTTTCGAATAAAGGATATCTTCAGTTTCTGAGTCTACTGTAGTGTATTTCCCTCCTTTGGAGAAAAAAAAATTTCAGCCGAATCCAAACAGACCCAAAAGCAAAGCTTTTTCCAAAAGGCAAAATTCAGCTCATTTGTAGGTTTGTTCAAGCCCTTTGGAAAAGAATTTCGCTTTTAGGTCCATTTAAGTCAAGCAAAGGGCCAGAGCTCAGCATGTCTATACATATCCGTTTGGGGCTGCTTTCAAAGTGACCTTCAGTTTTTAGGTTATTTTGGCTTTCAGATGTACTGATAATGGATACCTGAGCTGTATTCTGTGCAGCTCTGGTCACTGCATTGCAGAAAGGGCGTGTCATAGAGTCTTAGAGGTCTACAGCATAAATAAAGGCTATTCAGCCCATCAAGCCTGCACTGGTCAAATACATGCGCCAAACTATTCCAATTGTTTTTCAGCACTTGGTCCATATCTCTGCATGCCAGGGCATCGCAAACGCACATGTCAATGCTTCTTAAATGGTATGAGGTTTTCAGCCTCTACCATCCTCACAGGCAGTAAGTTCTAGATTTCCACCAGCTTTTGGGGGAAAACATTTTTCTCCTCATATCTCCTCTGAACCTTCTGCTGCTTACCTTAAATCTATGACCCCAGACATTAATCCCTCTATGAAAGGGAAAAGTTTTCCTGTTTCCACTATCTAAGCCCTTCGCAATTTAATACATCTCAATCATGCCCCCGCTAATCTCCTCTCCTTGAAGGAAACTATAACCAGTCTGTATAATTAATCTTCATAACTGAAACCCTCTAGTCTAGGCAACAACCTCATAAATGTTCTCTGCACACTCTCTAGTGCTATTGCATCTATCCTACAATGTAGATTCCAGAATTGTGCACAATTCTCTAGCTTATCCAGCTTTCTCTAGCTCAACCATAGCGTCATAGAGATGCACAGCACAGAAACAGACCCTTTGGTCCAACTTGTCCATGCTGACCAGATATTGTAAATAAATCTCGTCCCATTTGCCAGCATTTGGCCCATTTCCCTTTAAACACTTCCCATTCATATACCCATCCAGATGCCTTTTAAATGTTGTAATTGTACCAGCCTCCACCATTTCCTCTGGCAGCTCATTCCATACACGCACCATCCTCTGCATGAAAAAGTGCCCCTTCGGCCCCTCTTAAATCTTTCCCCTTTCACATTAAACCCATGCCCTCTGGTTTTGGACTCTCCTACCCTGTGGAAAAGACCTTGGCTATTCACTCTATCCATGCCCCTCATGATTTTGTAAACCTCTAAGGTCATCCCTCTGCCTCAGACACTCCAGGGAAAATAGCCCCAGCCTATTCAGCCTCTCCCTGTAGCTCAAACCCTCCAACCCTGGCAACATCTTTATAAATCTTTTCTGAACTCTTTCAAGTTTCAGTGTCAGTCTTCAGAAAATAAATAAAAAGCATAGTTATTGAATGCAATTAGAAGTTTTTTATTGTTCAGTTTTTTAAGCAATGGTAATTGGGAGCAGAGCCCATTTGTAAACTTTTCAATTAAATAAGGGATAAAAAAAAGGCTGCTCCAAAATTTATATTACTTTCCTTCTTTATTCTGTTTTCAGAAGTAATAGTTTTAAAATTTTTGACACTCAGGAAATATTTGACAC